GTGCCATCTTTCTTGTTGGTGTATCGACCTGCTTCACCTTGTTCATCCGGTAAGTCTCCCCTTCGAGCTTACATCGCGCGGCTAATTGCGGCGAGAGAAGCACGCTCACGTTCGTTTCGATGCATCGCGTCACGACTTTTAGCGCTGGGCTTGCTCTCCAGTAAGCAATGGTGCCGGCCTCGACATGTCTCTCTTTAACAGAACCGAGTTCGGCAGAACGTGGGAGTGAGCTTCAATCGAATGAGGTCAAATCGGCTGGAAATGGAATGCTAAACAGAGGAAAACAATGCAGTGTGCACAACTTTGGCTGCGAACACGTTCGGCTGTCGACGCTCGTATAAGTCTGATCCGCGCTAGGTAGCACGTAATTTTTGCACGGTGCATATCTCGCGGGCTGCAATCTGACACCTTGCCGAGACGAGAAGAGATCGATTGCATCGGCAGCAACTATTTTTGGGTAGATGTGCATTTGGAGGGCGCATGATGCACCACTTCGTGCGAGAGCGGAGATGAGGATCACTTGGCAGCCGCAGCGTCGACAGCCTTGGTAGCCTCTTCAATGACCGCGGAGGGCTGAATGAGGTTAGACATGGCGCTGACAACGGCTCTAAGACCCGAAGTGGTGATATCCACATCGATTCCCACGCCCCAAAATCCAGGCGCCCTCTTTGCCCCTTGTCCATCCTCCACATCCGCATCCACCAGCTCCACGTACGAAGCCGCTTGTCCCCTCGTTTTGGTCTCCCTCTTGCCGTTCGGGTCCGACGCGCTGGTCGAAAAGGTGCCAGGCTTAGAGACGGCGTGCTCAGAGTATTCTCGAATGTTTGCTCGGATACCGAATGCGCTCTCCAGAGCATCGAGAATGGCAGAGAGAGGTCCGTTGCCCTTTCCACTAACATTGTGAGGCTTTCCATCTCGCAGCACGACACCCGTGAAGCGGCGGTAGCGCGGCGTTTGAGCGCCGTAACTCGGATCTAGGACTTGACTGCTAGAAGGCGAGAGGTTGTCATCACCATTCAATTCAGGAGCAACATCATCTTCCAGCTTGAATTGACGCAGCGTGAGTCTGCCCTCGTTGCGTCCAGTAGTGATGCTGGGAACGTGATACGTCTGCGTAAAGGCTCGCGTAATGTCGTCCGATGACATTTCCTTGCCCGTCCTATCCGCAACCTGCTGAATGACTTGATAGAACGCGACTTGCATTCTACGCGGCAGGTCCAAGCCAAGAGCTTGCGCGACGAGATACGCGATTCCGCCCTTTCCGGATTGGCTGTTGACCCGAATGATGGCTTCGTAGGTCATGCCGAGATCTGCAGGGTCGATGGGTAGGTACGGAATGTTCCAACTGGGGTCGCCCTTGATCTTCCTCGCGTCCTGGGCCGCAAAGCCTTTCTTGATGGCATCTTGGTGACTGCCGCTGAAAGCTGTAAAGACAAGCTCTCCCGCATAGGGATGACGAGGGTGAACAGGAATGTCGTTGCATCCAGAGACTGTATCGATGACGCTCTGCAAGTCGCTGAGATCGAGGGGCCCAGGTTGGACGCCTTGGCAAAAGAGGTTGAGAGCAAGCGTCACGATGTCCACATTGCCTGTGCGCTCTCCATTTCCGAGGAGGCAGCCCTCCACTCTGTCACCACCAGCCAAAAGACCTAGCTCGGTTGCAGCTACGGCGCAGCCTCGATCATTGTGGGGATGCAGAGAGATGATGATCTCTTCCCTCTTAGTGACATGGGTGCAGAACCACTCAATCTGTCAGGAGTGGAGGAAAGGTATCCCGGCGGATGTGGACGCGGTGAGCGCTCCGTACGACAGACGAGAAAGACATCACAATCTCTCGCTCACCTGATCAGCGTAGTGGTTTGGAGGGCCTATCTCGACGGTCGCAGGCAGGTTGAAGATGATGGGTTCCTGCTTGCTCGCTTTGCCCCAAGCGTTTCTGACCGCCTCGCAAATTTCGACGGCAAAGTCCATTTCGGTCTGAGTAAAGGTTTCTGGCGAGTATTCGTACTTGAAATTGGTCCCACCATTCTCTGGCTTGCTGTACTCGTCCACCAGCTCGCGAACGATTTTTGTGTGCTTGACTGCCAGGTCGATGGTCTTTTCCCTACTGTTTCCAAAGACGACGTCTCGGAAGAGGGGCGATGTGGCATTGTACATGTGCAGAATGACATTCTTGGCACCCTTGATCGACTCGAATGTCCTGCGAATCAGCTCCTCTCTGTGGACAGTTTTCGTGATCAGCACCTCGTCCGCGCTTGCAAGGGCCAGACTTGCTATTGACTGGTCCGACACTCACCTTGCAGGGGTGAGCACTTGGATGAACACGTCGTCGGGGATGAGTCCTTGCTCGATGATGTTTCTCACAAAGCCAAAGTCGGTGTCGCTGGCGGAAGGGAAGGCAACTTCGATCTCTTGAAAGCCAACGTCGACGAGCTTCTTGAAGAATTCGAGCTTCTGCTCCTGGCTCATGGGATTGATGAGCGCTTGATTGCCATCTCGGAGATCAACCGATGTCCAAATGGGAGATGTGCGTTGCACTTTGGAAGGCCACGACCGGTTGGGAAGGTCCAACGGCTTGTAAGGCACGTACCTGGCTCCCGGATTCATACCAGGCATGATGGGCCAGCGAAGAGCGGTGGAGATTGTGCTATTTGAAGCAAAGCTGACAGCACGAGTGTGAAGCTGATGGATGCTGCCGAGCTTGCGAGTGCGTGCGTGCTGCTCAAGGGCTGTTGCTGCGTCTCGAAGCGTTTGCAGCGTTGTCTTTTATTGCTTTCACCCTCGCGAAAAGTGGAGATGGAAGAAGCGAACGGCACCGACTTGCAGCAGCAGCGTATAGATGACTCGGCGATCAAAAGGCGACAAATGAGGTGCGACGGGATGCAAGCCTGGTGAATGACGTGGACGTTGTGGTGGTGCAGATGTTGGGTGAAAGCTCAAGAAGGAGCAAAGAGGGGGAACGCTCGACTGGCCATTCACCCCTGCACGCCCATGATCGAAGGAATCAAGCTGTACCTGTACATCCGCTTGCGCGATGCTTCATCTGGACGAGTCACGTCTGCCCTGCAGCTGCAGCCTGCAACAATGTGAATGCAGCAGCAGCAGGCCTTTTGCACCCTCAAGATTCCAAAGGCCTCATCGCGCCGTCGGCGCTTTAAATCCGAACTACAAGGCAGCAATTAACCTGTCTTGGATAGAACTTTGGCTTTCTTTGGCTCAATTAGACATGTGGACCGTTTTGCGACATTCAAACTGAATTGCCTCTCTCTTCGTTGAAATTCACATATATCCACTCAAACTTGTACTACTTTGAATGTGACTTGTACAGCAGGCGCATGGCTCGGGGCGAAAGCCGCGGAGGGTAGCGCGAGCGCGATATGCACGGGTTGCGGTTAATTGCAATCACGTGAATGAAGAATGGTGAATCACGTGAATGCTGCTGGTGAAGAGCTCGCGGCGGTCGGATTCAAGTCGATGTCAATTAGGCTGCTTGATCCGGGCTGCCTTCTCGACCATCAGCTGTTCAGCTTCGTTCTACAACGAGCCCAAGTACGAAGAGGCGCGATAGGAAAGGATGTCCTAGGCTCACACGCTGCGACGAGCGATCAAGCTGAAGACTTGCAAGGCGAAGGTAGTGGTGGACCGAGGAGCGAGGTCGTGCTGGGGCATATACAAGGTGTATGATCTCCAAGTCAGCGTTGCTCGTCAAGCGTCAACCATGACCGAGCAAAAAGTCAGCTATGTACCCACCTGCCTCGCACGCATCTCACTTCGACGAGCAAAAGTCAAGAGCGATGCAAGAAGCAAGCAAGAACGAGATGAGATCACGATTGCGTACCAAGATGTCAGAAGCTATCAATGACGGGCACGCAACCGCCAAATCTGACGCACACGGACGCTCTCGTTCACCGCCTCGTGACCTTGGTCCGGTCTGCGTACACTGCTCAGCAGAAGCCGCTTCTCTCTATCTCGAGTACTCGCCCGGTCATGTAGCCTTGACACCTTGCAACAATTGTCACAGCAAAGCTGTCGATCCCTACGTCGAGTTCGAGCTGCCCATCATCTTGCTGGACTTGGTAAGTGACGCGCGCACAACTGGAGAAATGCTGAAAGAGGTCTCGACGAGCTGATTCGCCCTTTCTACGCGATCTTTGTACCGCGACAGGTGCTTGTCAAGCCATCTGCTTATCGGCACCTCATCTTCAACAGACATCATCTGCAAACCTTGCCGTTGCAGGGCTCCCGGGCTAAAGCGGCGAAAGGAAGTGACACCGCATCGAGCTTAAAGTCCAAATCATGGCGAACGCTGAGACAAGGCACTGCGTTGGTTTTGGTGGACGCCTGTGAGTTGCTCGTTGTGCTGCACAGAGCACTTGTCCCAAGCTAGGCGAAACGAGATCTGACACTCGCTTTCCTCGGTTCACCCGCACCCGTAGATGTTCGCTGGCACGATCTCTGTGAGCGAATGATTGTCGCAAGGGAAAGCAGCAGCGCGGGTCCAAAATCTGACAGCCGTGTTCTCGCACCCACGCTCCGCCTGGTTCAGGCTTGCCGTCCCACCTTTCCGTCTCTCTTCCCGCTACACTTTCAGATTTGCTGCACTCCTATCTATCCGTGCTCGCCGCTGTAGCGCTCGAAGCGGTCGTCTTTCATTCGATCATCCACATCTTGTGCCTTTTAATTCTAGCCATCAAGCGTCAAGCTGCCACGTGGGCTTCACGTTCATCTCGGAGTAGTCATGGTTCAAGAATAGGTGCAAAAGAAGCGACAGGAGGCGCATCTAGTGTGTGAGTGGACTGTGCGGATCACACAAGAACGCGCTACCCTGGAAGCGAGGGAAGCTGATGGCGACCTTCATGATGCTCTGCATGCCGCAGAACTCATCTGCCAGCTCAAGCGCTGCACGCATCCTTAATTCTCGCCTCCATTCCACAGATTTTGCTGCTCACTCTTCTTCTGCTCTGGAGGAGCCGAGCGCAGCACCTTTCAAGCGCCTCCTCCGAAAGACTTGCCACTTCATCAAGCCGAGGCGCAGTCGGGCAGCTTCAAATCATCGGCGATTGGTTCATCGATTTCACCTGGTTGGAGCTGGACTTAGACACTGGAAAGGCTGCAGAGTGGGGCGTCAGATCGCTGCTTGGAGGTCTAAGTGCGGGCGTAGGGCTGGGAGGTGAGCAGTCGCGATACTTCAACAACGAAGCAAAGCTGACCCATGATACGACCGCCACGATCCCAGTCATACTTCCGCGCTCGCCCGTCTCTTCCACCTGCATCCTGCTGCTCGGTTGGGGCTTGCAAGGACTTGCAAGGGAAAGACTTACCGGCTTGCCAGCGGCAGCCACACGAGGCACAAATGCACTCGATGCATTCCAGAATTGGTGCAGCCCTTGATGACACCTTGGCTCATCGTGTATGAGCCACTACTTTGCGACGATTTAATACAAATGCATTGGGACGCGTGGCCACAAGCTTGCAACACAGTGCTGTGCGTTGCCAGCACGCATCTGAGAAGAGGCCCCTTGAAGGCTGCGCTCACCCGTCTAGGCCAAGTATTGATATCTGTAATTGCAGGATAAAGATGGTGATGCGCTCAGCACGAGTCATCTTTCGGCGCTTCTGGTGAACTCACAGGTCTCTTTGATCCTCCACCCTCTCAAGGTACTCTTTGTCGATCAGCTGATCGATAGCCTTCTTGATGTCTGGCACTTTTGGTTGGAAGCGCGCTGAGACCTGTGAAATGACCTCTGCAACCAGCTGCATATGCTTCAGTTGCTTTCGCGCTTTCATTATGCTGGCATAATAATTTCGTTCTCTTGGTGTCAGCTTCCAGTCCACTTCAAGCACTTAGTGGTGATCAGATCGAGCGCCGCGATTACTCACCGCACAATCGTGGCCTGCAGTAGCATCCTTCGATCTTCGTCGACTGTCTTCATCACATCCGAGGACTCCGCCTTTTGCTCTGCTTTCATGGGCATGTTCAAATTGACGCGCACCTTCTTTGATTTAAACTCTGAGGAGCCAATCATTGCGGAAGCTTCAGCAGCATTCACGCGGCACGGCGTCGAGACACTTACCAGTATTCAGCTCGTAGGCGTCGTCATCCTGACGTAGCACCTTGCTCTTAACAAGCGGCACCAAAGCAGGCTTGAGGTTCGCGTCCGCCAGCCCCGTGGCTTCTCGAAGCTGAGTGTAAGTGAGACTGTCGCTTGCGTTGAACTGCAGAATGACAGCAGTCTGGTAAGCACTGAGCTGGAAGATAAGCTTTTGGCTCAAGTAGTTGGTGCGTATTTCGGTCTTGGCGAGTTGCCACATCCAAGTGAGTTTCCGTCCCGAATGCTTAGCACCATAGTATCGCTCAAAGCGAGTATAGGTCGGCAAAAGCTCGGTCGGAATCACGATCTCCGTTGTGGCGTGCGGCAGGGGCCAGAACCCATTGGCCAGCACCAAGACGTAGAAGTCCATCTCTGCACCAGTAGCGTCGTCTCCTTGGCTAGTCGTCGAATTGCGGAAATTGTCGTTGAGCTCCTTGCTCAGACCCATGTCTGTGAACATCCTCTGAAGCTTGCTTGTGTACTCGAAACCACAAGCTTCCTTCAGCTTTGAGATCATGCTGGATTCGGCATCGTCGGACGCTGACGTGAAGTTGACCAGACGCTTGGCAAGCATTTTGGAGTAGAATTTCTGGAAGACGTCTTTGTCCTCGATATATTTGAACACGATCATCTGAGGCACCCAGGCGGACACAGTGAGGTGAGCCCAATATGGATGTCTCAGACATCAGCTTCCTTACAAGGCACTTACCACTTGATTGAGTGCTTCTTCCATGTTCGCCTCTTCTGCACTACGATTGCTCTTCTTCAAGAGCCCATCGGCATGTCTGGCCAAGAGTTCGGGGCTCTTGCTGTTGCTGGCTCCCGTTGCTTTGTTCCGGTTCATTAGATCCCTGCAGGCTTTATCCAAAGCTGCCAAGAAGCCAGCCTCGGTGCGGAAGGCATTCTGGATGGTCTTGAGAGAGCTTGCGTACACCTCAAGCAACGCATTGACATATGCAGTGGGGTCCACTTCACTCGCCGCTGAGCCTTCTGCGCCTCCTGCGCACGCTTTCTCAACGGCGTTCAAGCCAACTCGCTTGACGTGCGCCTCGAACCTTTCTCTGAGAGGCTGCAAGCCTTCCGGAATGCGGAAGAGCAAAGTATACATGCGCCAGAGGTCTATAATTTGCAAAGTGGGCATCCCTTGTCAGTCGAGTGGGCCGAATCGTTGGCTTCCCAGGCATGCTGACTTACCGTCGGTCTTGGCGGCATCTAAGAGGGCTTGGAACTCGTCCCAGAGCAGTTGAGAGTGATTGCGGATGAGGACATTGTCACAAGTGGACACAAGCTTGGCTGTAGTAGTCGGATGCAAGTACATCTCAACGCGCCCTTCTTCTTCCCTCAGCCTTGCTTCCGCCTTTTTCATGTAGTCGGTCGTAGAATTCTTAGCGACGAAATTCTTGCTTTCGGCTTCGTAATAGATTTCCGTTGCCTGCAAGAACGCCCGCTCGAAGTCGTGTCTGTACACCTCCAAATTCTGTTTTGTGGAGTCGGTCTCGTCCAGTCCCAGCGAGACTAAGTGGCATGCATGCGTTGTTATAAGATCAACACCGCGTATTGAAGAGGGCCGAACTACTTGACTCACCAAATGAATCCACTACCTTCTTCACCAGACTTGTTTCAATGGTCTCCCCAGTCCTTTGCTTCTCAATCTGATTGAGGAGAGCTGTGACCAGTCTCCCGTTCTTCTGCACCACCGTAAACATTTGTTCTTTCCATTGAACGAGCGCAAGCTGAATTGACGATTTGGAATTGGGTGAACTGATTAAGCTCCCGGCTTGCAATGCTTTCATGAGCCTCGTTCGACGACGCACCGTGTAGATGAAGTGCACATGCCTGTGACCCTCTTCCCTCTCCCGGCGGACCCAATGTCGATTGAGGTAGGTGAACAGTCTGTGCACAAAATTCGATCCCGTAGTATATCTGTCCCACTCCGACACATAATACTTTAACAGTGCCTCGCCGGAGAGGTCAGCGGCGCCCTGTGAGAAGAAGAATGTAGTCTTTCAACATGGCGTAAAGAGGCCCTCCTCATGAGTGAACTCACCTGCGCAACACCTTTGGAGTGCTCCACGAAGTAGCTGCTCAGCCTCCGGTACATATCTGCGCCGACGAGGTTTGCCCCTGAGGATCCAGAATAGTCGACGCAGGATCAGTCCAACATCCGTGGCGCATGCGCAGACCGGGGAGCCTCCTCCGACAGAGAGAATCAGTGCCAGATTGGTGTGCCAGCTGAAGCCCTCTACAGCAGCGCTGTCTCCTACTAGCCATTCTGTCTGAGCACCGCGGGCGTAACTCCTCGACTCACCTCTAGCGCCACCGCTGAGTCCATCTGAAGGAGCATTCATGCGGCTGCTGGTGCAGTAGTTGTATACCACAGTGTACAGCTCCATATACCTTGTATACGACAATCCTTCGGTACGTCGCGCCATCTAAGGTGACGCAAGGATTGGTGGTCAGCTGGGGTAGCGAAGATGCTTCGGTGTGTCTCATCTACGCACCATCACCGAAATGCCGACTTCTAAGAATTGCCATGTCTGATCGATGCTATCATGTGGTATGAGGCGTGTCAGTGGATCACCCAAGATCAACAGGGATAGCGAGGAAGAGGTCCCAGCGCTTCCACTCACTCAAACGGCGAAGGCAGCTGCGTTCTGCCGTTTGCCGTCGCCATCTTGGAATCCGAGTGCCACCCGACAGAGCAGGTGCTGAAAATGAATGATCAGATTATTTTGTGGAAAGCGATCGACTTCCTCCTTGGACAGCACTAGAACCCCACGGTAGAGCACTGGTTGGAGGATTGAGAGGCAATCCCTTTCAAGTGCTGACAATCTTGAATGACCGCGCGCACCACCAAGGTCGCGTGCACCTTGCTGCAGCCTTTCAAGCCTCTCGAGTGACTGGTGTGGCGAGAGGGTGTCGCCAGGGAAAGATCCGAGCCTGTCACAGATTCACACTAGCAGGGCCCGAGTGCTAAGGAAGGCCTTGAAGATGCCCCTTTTGTTAGACTTGAGGATGGCGAATGAATGCGAACGTAGTGCTGGAGTTGGAGGGCTCAGCGATGAGGCAGAAGGCGCCATCACGAATTGATCGTGAGTCAAATTGCCATACACACTCGTCACACTCGTGACCCCATGCTTGACAGGCGAGCTCGATTCGGCGTAAAAGTAGTCACGAGTGGATCGACCGCATGGGTGCTGCTGCGCGTTGAGCGGGGATCGCATGGTGCTGCTGGTGCGGGCGTTCGTGATTGAGATGGCGCGCAGCTCGGCTCATCCGGCCGAGAACTTCCGAGAGGCAGCAAGAAGCAAAAGCAGCTTATTGCACGCGTTTGGGCTTTTCAGAGCGGCCGCGATCCGCCTGACAGGCACGCAGTTTCTTCGAGGTCGATCTATCTTGCAAGTGCTGTATGTCCTGATTACAATACCTGCTCCTCGTCTTCCATTGCACCTCACGCACAACGCTTCATCGGCAGCTGCACGCAAGTCATCGTCCGCACATTCGGCGTCGCGCTACCTGGGTCACAACAGCTTGGCCACGATGTCGTTGCTCGTCTCATCCCGTCTCGTCCTCGGCTCGAGTGCTCTGCGTTTTCCGGTCGCCTCTCAAGTCTCCAGATTGCGCACTGCTTTCGAGAGCCGGCACAAGTCACACAGCCATTGTGATCAATCGTTCTCATCGATGGCGGTCTCAAGGACCTGCGCGGCACACCACGCGAAAGACAGTATCTCTCGGCCTGGACCTGTTCTCAATCGCTTCGCGACGTCGGGCTTCACCTCTCAAGGCAGGCAAGGCATCGGGTGTCAGGGCTGCCCGACGAGCTTTTCAAGGCGCTCTTATCCGCATCCATCGCGGGCCTCGCTCGTCGGGCTCCCAGGTGCTCGATCCAATGCCAAGCTGACCGAGCACCAGAGGTGTGCATGTACGCTGAGTCGGTACAGATGCTATACCTCTGCCACTACGAAGTGCGCCGCACCGAACGGTGCAGCGCTTCCTGTCAGCTTCTTTGATCCTTCACGAGGAATAGCGCCATCTCCCTACGCACCATCCGCGCATCAGCCGCCGTCTGACGATCCAACCAGGGCGCCTCTTTCCGGACCCTTGATGCTGCCCACAACTCCATCAGCGGCGATCGCAGCAGGGTATCAGCCAGTGCCCTCGCTCACTCCAAGAGTGCTCAGAAAGGCCTACGTGGCATTGAGCAAGGCCAATCTGACATTGCTTGTCACACTGACAGCAATGGCCGGCTACGCGCTGTGTCCCGCAAGCTTGGCCGTAGCTTCTGGACCTACCGTTCTCCTCGCTCTCACCTTTGGCACAGCGACCTGCAGCGCGGCAGCCAACAGTCTCAACCAGCTCATCGAGGCTCCATACGATGCGCAGATGCCACGAACGCGCAACAGACCTCTTCCGGCGCGCATGTTGACTCCACTACATGCGGCCTGCTTTGCCAGTGTTGCCTCGATCTCGGGCATCACAACCCTTGCCCTTGCCGTCAACCCTCTCACTGCTGCTCTGGGGGCGGCCAATATCGTACTTTACTCCTTCGTCTACACCCCTTTGAAGCGTATCCACATCGCTAACACCTGGATCGGATCGCTCGTTGGCGCCCTGCCTCCCTTAATGGGCTGGGCCGCAGCTACCGGGTCACTCTCCTCCTTTAGTGACGCGCCAGGCTGGCTGCTGGCAGCGCTGCTCTTCGCCTGGCAATTTCCGCACTTCAATGCTCTTTCTCACAACCTCCGATCAGAGTATGCGCGAGGAGGATACCGGATGATGTCAGCTTCGCACCCTCTGCTCAATCGACGCACAAGTCTGCGATACGCCATAGCGTGCACACCTTTATGCATCGCCCTCGCATACACTGGCGCACTCTCACCCATCTACGCTCTGTTGAGCTTACCGCCGAATCTAGTGCTTGCTCACGCTGCTTGGAGATTCTGGAAGTTCGAAAACGACAAGGATGCAAGATGGTGCTTCTGGGTCAGCCTGGTGCATCTGCCCGCGGTCATAATCCTGGCGATGGTTTGCAAGACGGGGCTTTGGGATGGTTTCCTCGAGAAGCTTGGCTTGATTAGCAAGTATGATAGCGTCGAAGTGGCTCCTCGACGGGTAAAGGACGCGCCTGACCTGATGGAGCAGGCATCAGGAACGATAGACAGAGCGACGCAGTAACAGATTGGGGTATCAGAATCCCCTCGTTGTTGTTCACACTGCTTTCCGCGAATACGACGACACCCCTGTGGATCGCATTGCCAGTCATTGCTGTACGAGCGCGTTGAAGCTTGGAAGAAGTCTGCTGGTGAAGATCATTGGTCGTTGATGACAGCAGCATTCTCTTTCGAAGCCGGCTCCAGGACAGGCTCTACCTTCGGCTGAGGTTTCGGGGCTGGCTTCTTGCCTGCCTCATCCACCACGCACCTGGTGGAGAAGGGCGGAAGGCAAGACTTCTTAGCCCGCATGCACCTCAGGAGGTAGGATCTGGAGTATACACTCACCACATTAGCAAAGCGCCGACACTTCGGTAAGGTCGCCAAGTCTCTGTGAGGAGCTCCATCTGCTCAGGCCTGCAGCTCGGCAGAAGGTGATGGGTCTATAAGCTTGGAGAGCTTGGCAGGGAGTGTGCGACACGCCCCAACTCACGACAAAAAGTATTTGCGCTTTTTGAATTCTAAGCTCCGCCGAGAGCGCAGGAACTCGTGGCTGATCCCGGCCGGATGGAAGGGAATTTCTCGAGTATAGATGTCCGGGGGCGGCGAGTCCCGCTCGTATATCCCTCCTTCTTTTCTTGCGATTTTCGGTCCTCTGCGATCTGAGAGAAAGAACTCCACCATGCCTCGTTGCACCGCAAGGTCACCTGCATTAGGACAGGAGACAGACATTCAGCACGAAACTTGCCAAGTCGAGTGCCAGACACTTACCAACTGGCAGCACGTCTGGTTCCCGAAGAGCGAAAAGCTGGACCATGTGCGCGGTCCAAGGTCCCACACCTCTAGCTTCGACGAGTTCTTCGGTGCACCCTTCAGTGCTAGCAGCGGATAATCTCCTAACGTTGAGACGTCCATCAGCGAATCTTCTTGCGACGTCGACGACCGATCGAGCTTTGGCTTCACTCAGGCCGGCACCTCTATATTTGCGAGGATCCTCTGACAAGACCTGCAGAGGAGCCGGAAAGACGAGCTGGGATTTGAACTGCTCTCGATCAGAAGGCGCTTGGCCGAGCTCAGGGTGGAAGATGGAGCAGAAACGCCAAATGACAGCCTTGGCAGCTTTCCACGAAATTTGCTGTCCGATGATGGACGTCGTCATTGTTCTACGTGGACGATTGCCTCGATGAGCCCATGACACACAGACGGGCGTGTCGCTCTCACACACCTGAATAGATCAATCTCTTCCACTCCGTTCGCTCGATCTTGCTGAACCTCTGCATCGTCATTGCCCGAGATCATGTTCCACTGGTCATCGTCTTGTGAGATAGCCGGCTCAGGTGCACCTTCTTGAGCGGCTGCCAAGAAAGGCTTGAATCTAGTCATGTCGACTGTGGAGAACATGCTCTTGAATCGCACATCTGCCTCTTCCAGGTGTCTCCTGGCCACGTCGAAAGAGTACGTCATGCGAGGTCGCTTCATCGTCGTCGCAAGACGGATTTCTGCCTCGCTCAGCAGAGGTGGCAAGTCTTCGTCCTGCGCATGACGAGCCAGATGATCTACACGTCCAACCTCTTCAGCCTGCGCC